TGCGTGGTTAACGCTAAGATCTGCTGCCGCATGTTATGCAACAGAGCATTGACATCTTGTTGAGGTTGCAACAACATGTCAACTTGTTCTCTTGTAAAGTGTAGTAAAAAGACGTAACTGGGGGTCCCCGCTTGCTATCTGCAGATCTACCTCTTCCCAGCTGAGTATCGGATCTCAATCTCCGACTACCCACACTATAGTATTTGAATTTGTATATAAAAGGTATTTGTAATAAACCCTGGTCCAAATGGTTGTGAGGGGGTGGCCCGCTTGTTAAGCTGTCAGCCCTTCTCCAGACTGGCGGAGGCAAGTGCCTGGCCCGGTCAGAGGAAAGAGAAAGAGAAGTTTTGTATTTAAGTTCTAATCAACAATAGTTCCACACTATTGCTGAGCTAAAGTACTCCCCTTAACGCTGGGGGCCGTGTATCAAAGATATTGTTTCTTCTCCCAAAGCACTACAAGGCTGTTGCTAGGAGCGCACCTATTTGCTATGCAGGATATTCCCAAACCATAACACTATCCCCTTAACCCTGTGGTCCGGGTTTGCACATCGTGCAAGAGAGTAGAAGAGCGAGTCCTAATGTAACAACCAAGAGTTAGTTACTCTGGCGCACACAGTAACACACTATAAAGGTAGTGAAGAGGGAGTGGTTACCCTTTAGGCTACAGAGAGTTTGTTGGTATACAACAGGAGGACACGCTGAGGAGTCTCTTTGATCTATTGGGGGTATATATACTAATACAGGGTGTTTGTACTTATGTACTGTACAGTTGATAAAGATAGTGGCTGATGATGTCATGGGGCCTAGCCCACATGACCAGCTCCACTGCGTGAGAGAGTTGTATCTAAAAATAAGAAGAAAGGCAACGCAGCGCAAGAAAAAGGAGTTTGAACAAAAAAAGGGAAGTGTCTAGTAGACTGATCAAAGGCAGCGGATATGCATTTTTAACTGTGTACTCATTTAGGTAACAATAGTCCATAATCATACACTTTTTTCCATCCTGTTTAGGAATGAAGAACACTGGGGACGTCATAGGGCTCTTAGAAGGTCTGATGTAACCCTTCCTAAGTTGTTTGTCTGTGAAACTAGAAACCTCATCTCTATCTGGTGCAGAGAGAGGAATCAGTGTTTATCCTTTCATCAAGCTCAGTTTGATGGACATGACTTGGCTTACCCAAGTCATTATACTCCTGTGGGCAATGTGACAATGTGATAACCCCTGTCTGTCTGCCAGTTAATCTCAGGATTGTGTTTAAATAGCCAGGTCCAGCCTAAGATTAAATTAATCTTCCCTAGTTGGGTAGCTGCGGCAGTGACCCGTTCCCTGTGTCCTTGATACTTGACAACAAAGGAACATTTGTGTGTAATGCAGCCACCTGCGTTAAGTGTACTGTCAATGTTATAGATGGGAATAGATACATCTAATTTTTCAAGGGGGAGTCTGACTTGCTTCGCCCAGACCTGATCTATGAAATTACTGTTAGCGCCTGAATCAAGCAGTGTGCTGGTTGGGTGTACTATGCCCCGGGCAAGGTCTTCCACTCCAACATCTGAATGGATCTCTCTTTGGAATAAATATGTGCACATTAACACACACCATGGGATTTGGTTGGAAAGTGGCTCTGGAGAAGAAAAAGGAGAAATATCAAAAGAAACATGATTTTCTACTTTATGATTTTCTATATTTTTATTTTTATTTTTACCAGAATCAAGTACCCTAGTGTTTGTCTTGCCAGGGCCACGCTCCAAGGGAGACACTGGTGCAGCGGTGGTATCATAAATATTATAGTTACAGTTTTGCATACAAGTACATACTCTGATAACAAATTGAGAAATTTATTTACAAATTTGGGAGCCACCCCCTTTCCTTTATTGCTTGTGCAACACCCCAGAGTAGGGGCCACCTTGTTGTGGTTTACTTCATTGTTAATAAGAGTGAAGGCACCCAAGTGACCTAAGCTCCAACTTGTAGCTAAGAGTAAAGTCAAGTAGTGTAGCGCAAGAAAGTGGAGTCTGAACAAAATGGAAAGTGCTGCATGGCATAGTGTGTGAAAACTACAAAAAAAAGTTAAAGTGGAGAATTAAATTTTAAGTTTCAAAAATTGTGTATCGTAACACAGTGTCTTCATACACTAGTTCCTTTGGTGGGTTGCTGTCAGCTTCTAATTCCCTTTTTTTAATACCCTTTTTGTACCATGAACAGCTTTTTAACATAGGCAAATGAGCCATAACTCCTTGTGGTATGCTCAAGACCATTCCACAGGCTGGGCACAATGTTTCTGAGTGGGCAGAGAGAGGCTGCAAATTTTTTAGTGATTTTGTGAAGGATATGTCTATATAATCTTGATGTTCAGTGATTATATGAATAAATATCTTTGGGAAACTGAATCACCTTGTTATTAAGCTGATTATCTATTAGCTTTGACTAACAAAACATAAATCAGCTAGACACATATCTAAATTAGGCAATGCATTTGGGTATAATGACCTCAGAAATGCTCAACATAAATTATAATTCTACTTGAAAAAAGTACAACAATTTCCATAATTTCAGCAATGTAGTTCAACATACTTCATAATAGACACATAAAAAGTAGCAAAAGTGAAGGCAAAAACAAAGTAATGTGAAAGCCAAACCCCAACACTGCATACATTATTTTCCAGCATGAAATCTGGCCTTCTTGGCTGGGGGTTTATCCTTTAAAGCTTGCCAGAAAGCATTTGGAGGTTTGTAGGATCTAAATTTGGAATAAACGGCTAAAAAACTGGTTAACAAAGTGAAGTAACAGAGGCTGATACGTACAATTTCTACAGGATTTGCAAGTTTGATATCACCTTCACAATAAATATACACAATGCCTGTAAACATGCGAGCCCATTTGCGTCCATTAGGAGTAAGGATAGGACCCCACTTTATGCCATGATAAAACTCTTTAATCTTGTACCATCTCACCACAGGAAGAAAACAGTAGTAGCCAACCTAGCTTAGTTCTAATATGTAACTAAAAGGTTAACTTTTAGCCTCTATAAAACCAAGCTATTACATTTATAGTATTTGTAACAGTTGTACTAAATAATTACTTATAATTTGTATAATGTTGGTTTAATATCAGTATTTTAAATCCCAACTTGGAGTTTGTGACATCTATTAGCTTGCTGATACAAAAACCTAGTCACAAAATAGTCACACTAACCTAAAAAACAGCCTTTATTGTGGTTGCTGTTATGTGACTGTTATGTGACTATTTTGTGACCATGTTTTTCAGTATCAACAAGCTAACAGATGTCACAGACTCAAAGTTGAAACTTAAAATACTAGCAATTAACCCACTAATATAACAAAGATTGGTTTATGGCTAGGGTTTTAGGTATTAGCAAGCTAACAAATATCACTAACTTAAAGTTAAAACTCGAAATAATAACATCAAACTAGCATTAAACTAGCATATCTTTTATACAAATAATCAACAATTATATAGTAAAGTTGTGTGCAAATATGATTGTTTAAACACTAAAGAAATAACAGTTTAGTTAAATAAAAACTAAGAGTCAACTTTCCAGTTACATGTTAGAATCAAGCTGGTCTGCTTACTACTGTTTTATTTCTGTGGTGATCTGGGTGGTTTACAGTTGGTCTTGGTGGGGGCAGGAGATCTCCACTGGGTATCTTCATTAAGATTAACAATAATAACTCCCTTCAAGGAAGGATAATGAGGCATGTCATATCTCAGAACCTTAAGGCAGTGTGCAAAATCATGGGACATGCAAACCTCCGTGAGCATCAACATCTCATGATTCCCCTTATCAACTGTATACCTTTGTATACCCATCAGGGATCCTAGTTAAACCACTCTGCTGAAGGGTGAGATTACCTCCATATTCCAAAGAGGAGATACATTTGTTGTAGGAAGAGCCCTTCAGGGAGCTCTCAAAGGCACCCATGAGGGCTATTATGGGTTGCTCATAAAGAGCACAGGGACATTGTATGATGAGTATCTTATCATCCACCAAAAAAGAGTACCTACACATATAATATACTTATAGCATACAGGTTGCTTGATCAAAAGAGACATACCTTATTGCTACTTCAGTGTTATAAATGATAAATGAAAACTCTGCAAATAATTTCTGACTAAAGCCTCTGAAGATCTAACAGAGAATAAACTTATTACTGTGAAAAAGAACAATAATACACCTACAACAGGTGAGAAACAGTCTTACGTGCTGTTTGAGATAACATCAAATGCATTTTGAAGGGCAATAGACATGGTGACAGACACAGTCTTTTCCAAGGCTGGTGATTGTATGTAAGTGTGTACAAGGCTCTGTATGAGTTGACTTACCCTCATCTGTGAAGGGTGTTGATGCTATTTGTGCCACAGGGAACTGCTTTGGAGAGGAAGACACAGGCTGTAGCTGTGTGGAGGGTGATATCTTGCTAGTGGAAATTGACGACTGATGTAAGATGGGTAGTAGCAATACCGCCTTGGGATAGATAGGAAAGTGTTTTCTCACAGACCCTCTGGACTGAAATACTGTGACTGTGGCGCAAAAGGTGGAGCTAGCGCTCATGATCCTGAGTAAGTAGAAAGCATGGTTAGATTGCTGATTGCGTATCCAGTAGGCTCACCTCCCTTTATAAGTAGCTATTATATATTTTTGCGCTGGATACATGTACTGACCTTCCATCGGATTCAGAGAGCTGCACAGCTATTTGCATGGTAAACAGGTATGTGGCTTATCCTTATTCACATAGCTGGTAACAAGTGTTGTAGAGTTGACTTAGACACTGGCATTGTAATCCCTTTATTTCCCAACACATGTGTCTAGGAGCGCCAAGGCACAAGGCAATCCTAGAAAATAGTCTATGTGGGAAAAGTGAGGTGGCAGGACTTTCTTTGTCTGCTACCACATTTTCCCATTACCAATAAGACAACAATACTTCTGGTGTATATCAGTAGAATTTTCTTTGCACACTTAACCAAAGTGTTATCTTTGATGCCTACTAAGTTAGCCATCCCGGACCTAGCAATAGCTCTTGACTTCATGGGAGAAGACTATCAAGAAGCTCGTGTGGAATTATCCAACAAAATTATCAATGACACTTTAGCTGCTATGAGTCTAGTCAATCTTTGGGTTATATCTAACAACAAAGACAAACTAGCATGGGCCCAGCAGGTAGAGGAAGAAAACCTGGTAGCAGAAAAAAAAAGCCAGCGTTTATCAGAGGACATTGCTACACAGCAAAAATGTCTAGCTGACAAACAAGACTCTGCCTGGCAGGAAGAACGGAAAAGGAACAAGTTGAAATATGCTCCGGTCAAAGACATTGATGTCCCCTCAGACCCCATCATCATTCCATCACAATATGCTACTCAGAAAATAGAAAATGAAAGCTGGTGATTACTGCATACTTCACCAACAAGGTTTAGAAGAAGCATTGCGTTCCATGCTAACTACAGATGCTAAGGCTCTTGTTATGTTGCCATCAGCAAACGGTATCCATACCTGGGTCCCGGCAGGCACCGTAAGGGATACTAAAGTCCCTGTCACGATGGACAAGAACCTGACATGGGAACAGTTCAACAAGTCAGCACCAAGAATGGTGACATTCATACAGGAACATGACTGGGTGGGTGATAGAGTAACCATGCATCTCCAATTCTGGTCTGCGCTACAAACTCCCGCGTGGAGATACTCATTTGACCCAGTCCAACAGCGAGCACTGCTACTCTACCAAGTGTAACAGAGAAAAAGATGGCACCTCACCATAGAATCATCCCAAGGATGGAGCCTGGCCAGAATCAATAACAAGCTGCTCCTCACAGCTCGAGAAGATCTATTCAATGAATAACAGACATTATTAATGGCCTCAGTAGTACAGGTAAGCCAAAACATTTGTGTGTTAAAAACAAAGTTTTTCTAAAAATCAAAACATTTATGCCCACTTTCACAACCTTTGCTCTATGCAACCGTTTCCCCCTGGCATTGCATCCCATGCACCACCCAATCACGGGTCATTTTCCTCTGTTTGACCATTGCACGTCACATAACACTAAATTGACCAATTGTGTGTCACCAAACAGCACAACAGAGAAAGCGCACTCTTCCATTGAGAGCCTTACTCCTCTAACCACAATGCAGCCAGCTTGTTGTCAAGAGTGGCCCCTGCCAACAACCAATGTTTCCCCATCCTCTCAAAATATTCCCCGCCTACTTCTCCAAATCCCACATATGCACAGCAAAGGAGGCGGCAGCGGACTTTTTGTCCAAATGCAGAGCCCTCCGCGCTACCCGCCTGCCCAGTTTGCCTCGGACGTCACCCCCACAAAACCATTGAATGCATTTTGGCCAAAACCTGGGACAGAAAGTACGAAGAATTCTCTAAAAGGGTCAACAAAGCTCTCTGGACGCTGTTGATGATGAGAAGTGTTGTTAGAAAACCACACACAAAAACAAACTAACATACAGTCCTCCCAGATTCCACGGAACTTGTTTATGGGCTTTGCCTCCTAGAACAGTGGAGTGGTCCAGTTGTTTATGGGGTGGTATGTATGATAATCTTTCAAAGTCAAACCCAGAGATGTATGGGTGTGGGTGTTGAGGAGGAGGGATAGTTGAATTATAGGAGATAGGGGCTTTGTGGCGAGTATAGACGAGCACTACCTTGCTAATCGTAGCACAAGGTAGGTTTGAGAATGACAAGATGATGAGGTTCCCAGTGATAGCAGGCTCCTGACACACAAACTGTAGTGCTCAGAAGGATTCCAATTAAAAGGGATGATAAAGACTTCAAAAGTGACAGGTGACGATGACAGCAGTTAACAGTGGTAGCAGTGGGAAGTGTTGTGACCACACTGGATCACAAGTAGTAGTGAGTAGTGAACTTGAGATGAGAGAGGAAGTCTGGATTCAAGTTCTTGTTGTTTTTACAAGGTAAAATACAGGGGTTTATATAGTGAAAAGAAAGGTAGGCTATGCACAGTATAGCTGCGCAAAAAGAATGAGAAAGAACATGAAGGAAGGAATGTATGCTGACAAATCCTGCATAGTTGCTACAGGATAAGATTGTCAAAATAAGGGAAAGAAAGGGATAGAACAATGAATGCTGTGAGTAATGTCACAGGTTTGTACAGCCATAAAGTAAAGTCCAATAACAAAAAGAGAGCAGGAAAATCATGATGTCA